AGGAATTCACTGTCAGGTGAATGCAAGCAACCGAACCAGCTAAAACTTAGCACAACACCACCTTACATAATAAATTATCTTATTGCCTAAGTATGGGCTGTATTCTTTATTCTTAAACCTTTTTGTATTTGTTTTGGTATGGGTCCACTTTACCAAACAATTCACTTTATCAGTATTTGTAATTCTATTCAGCAGCTGTGATGAAAATTTTTACTTTCCCTAAATTTGAGCTTATTTAGTTGAAACCTGTTATACAATCACTGGTCTATCCCTCTGGAGTACTAAGTCTGTCATTCAATTGCATTTTCTTGATTCAATTAGCTCCGTCATCCAAAACCAGTGATTTAGTACACTGACAGATGCCACCAACACCTGCACTCCTGTTAATATCAGTGAGGTATTTCAGTGATTGTAGACTTCATTGGACAACACTACCACCCAAACTACAGTTCTGCAAGGTTACATTTACATTTCAAATAAAGTCAAACTCCATGTTGTTTGATTACATCAGAATTGGAAACACTGACATTGTTATCAGCAGTTTAAAACACGGTATATTTTCATGCAAAACTTTATGTGAACAGACTGCTAAGCGAGAAATTAGCATTTATCACACTTGATTCAAACCACCAATGACAAGGCAGAGACTGAACAAAGTACATTACTGTGAAAATCCTGATCAAGAGCAAACTGCAGTTTTATCTTTGAGATAGTAATGCAATTTAGATGAAAGGAAGTCTACAGATGTAGTTGCTGCCCAAGAAAAAAAGAAGTATTTTCTTTTAATTTTTCAAATCAACAAGTTACACGTGCACATGTGCTATTTAAGTAGAACAGAGACAAGATATGAAAATGAAAAGTAACAATCACATCAGTAAAACGTACTGTTATTCTAGTACTTTAGTCAAATTCAGTTAAGTGGGAATTCGATTGCAGTTCATAACCAGAATATACTTTAGCTTTCCTGGAATAAACAAGATAAAGATCTACTGCATTATATTAGCAAATTATTTCTATAGGAAAACAAAGACAAAGTAATGAAAGTTCTACAAAAAGCAGAATGGGAAAAAGTTATACAAGAGGAAACAAATTCAAGTCTAAAGAAGGCATTGCTTAGACATCTACCTTGGAGTAATTTGCTTCATGAAAAGTTTAAAAAAAAAAAAAAATCAAGAAGACTAATGATAAAGATAACAGGAAGAACCTGTTACCAGACTATAAACATTTAAAACATACTCCAAATGAAACTGTAATTCAGTATCTAGCAGTTAGCATAAAATACTTAAATTACACATCATCACAATAATTTGAAATTAGTTAATTCACTTAGAAGTAGATTGCAGCAAGATCAATCTGTTCAGTGAACCTAAAACCTGTAAGGAAAAAATGCGTTCCATTCTACCAAGAAGAGGAAACAAACGTGCGAACATTTTACACTGTAGACTGGAAAGTTAGATTTTGGTAGAGCATGCCAAAACCAAGAGAAAAACACCCCTCTTAAACTTGTTGGACAGCGTTTGAGTGGCTTATTAAAAAGCCGTTCTAACCAATAATCCGGTGGAGATTCAAGAACAAATAAACTTTTGCTATCCTAAACTTTGCAGTTGGAAAAACAATATATTAGTATTACCCTATGTTTGACAATAAGTCAATTAAAAAAAAGTAGCAAGCTTAGTTCAATTAGTGTCTGCCTAAGACATAGGACTAAACTCAAAAATTCTCGAGAGTTTTCCAAGACACAGTTCAAGCTTCAGATACCCGCATTTAGACGCCTAGATGTAGGCAGATTTCTATATGTAGCTATATGCATAGCTAAACTCCCATTCCTGTTAATCAGTAGTCTACTAGATTCTTTAAAGCTCTTAAAGATTCTAGATTCTAAAAGATCTTCTTTACGACACACATGAAGTGACCAGGGCACTCAAGGATCCATAGTCTTTACTGACTAGGGACCCAATTCATCAGCTTAAACATGAACACATAGTACACAGAGTACCATCACAGCTGCCTCAGTGTGTCCCATTTGGCTTAAAAACGCCAATCCAGAAGGGTGGGAATCTCCTAAAGGAACCACATCATATGTACAAAGGCATCTGAAACGACGTTTGAAGTTCATGTGTTGACAAATAATTTGAGCCTTGGATTTCCATTGGTTACATGAGAGTTTAGACATCTAGCTCAAATGCTCAATGGGTTGGCTTACTGGCAGACTAAATCCTATTCAGTGTCTTATATTGCTAAAGAGAAAGATCTGCCACTTATTTAGAAAGCTCATTTGTTTCCCATCTACAAAGTTTTTAATAAGGCTGATATTTTACCTCTATATGCGTCTATTTGTTTAGGAAAAAAGTCTCAAAATGAAAAATGCTTAAAAAAAAAGCTAAAAAATACTGTCTGTCACAATTTTTTTTTTTTAAATTACTAAGACAGAGGTACGTGACTTTTGTTTAGAAATACCAGATTATGACTTTCTCATCTTAAAGTAGTGCTAAATCTGCTTAATAACATGCTTTAAACATTCTGAACATTCAAATACAGATTGGTATTTAGAATTATTGAATTACCAAAAAGCATTAGTAACTTCAGATTTAACAACAGTCAAACAATGAGTTCAATGTCCTGCTTCTAGAGTGTGGCCACTAACCAAAGAAATGCAGTAGAAATAACAGATATGGTAATTTTTTCCACAAAAAGAGACTGTCCAGTCTCTAATGCTGCTAATAAAGGGTCAGACCAAAGAAAAAACAGTCCAAAGAGTTGAAAGAGCTTCTCAAGTGAGAAGGGAAGCTACAGATAAGTAATTGTTTTCTTCAAGTGCTTGTCTCTATATGCATTCATACTACAAACAGTTCCAACAATTATCCACTGATAGTTGTCTTCAATGGTGCTGAGCAAAAATTGAAGAACAATTACCCCAAATGTAACATCATTCCTTGACAATTCTCAAAGCACGTAACACTTAATGAAAACGCCTGTGACGCTCCAGTTGACAGCCCTATACATTTCAACTCTCAGGACACAGAACTATCAGTCAGTGCTTGCACTCCAGATGAGTGGGCCCTAAACTGCATTCTTTTACACTCAATTACCTTGGATAAGGTTCTGTAAACAGACTAACAGCCTTTTGAATTTTCAGCCATGGATACAAGGCGGGAAAGCTGTGTCCATATCAGAAAAGACGTCTCATCTTCAATAAATGAAGAGGCACTTCTGCTGAGGTAGTATGAGGTTTAGTGAAGACAGGTAAATTAGGTGCCTAGAAATGCAGAAGTTGTTGCGAGCAAAATATTCTGGTTAAATGGTCTATATCGAAAACCAATTCATGAAGAGTTGTAGATTTTATAGGTGGAAGTATTTTGTCAGTCTGCCCTTGAGAAGATGCCTGAAGAAGCAAAATTATTTTAGGTTTTAACAGCGAAAGGCATATGGTAATACGCAGCTCTCTGGTGTACCTTCTAAAATTTTGCTGTGGTGCTGAGGACTGCAGTTTCTAAGCACTCTTTTCTGAAGGGCACCTCTAACCCAAACTGTAATTACATCTTGTGAGTATCCTGCTGTTTACAGCAGTCATGTAGTGAACGGGTGTAGAGGCACTTTCCTTTCTTAAGGGAAAAGCCAAGAGCAAATCTTTCACTTCACCTGGCAGTCTGGTTGGATGCTTCCTTCCCTTCTTCATCTCTAAAGAACTGCAACTAAGTACAGTCCACCCTGTTAGTTTTCAGAGGGCTTTGCAAGTACATTCCATCTGGAAAGCTTTTAACACCCTGCTGCCACATGGCACAAAAGTCTACAGTACTTGACTTTGCATGTTTACGAGATGGACATGTATTGATGAATACATTATTTTTAGTAGGGAAGAACTTTGCATGGATGATGACACAGTTCACCTGGAATGTCAAGATTTTGAAGGCATTCCTCCATGAGAAACTAGACCAATGAGATCAGCTATATTCCGCTAAGTGAGAAGTTACAGCTTGAAATTCTAATCCTCTGCCATTCTAACCAGTGATGTCTATCAAGTTACAGGATGCTTTTTCTGACACTTTCACAGTCTGTACTTTGAACTTGCATTTTCCCCAGTTGAAAACCAGACAGATTATACCTGGTCCTTTTCTGGTAGAAAACATCATTTACGGTTGGACTGGATGATCTCTAAGGTCTTTTCCAACCTAGAAATCTATGAAATCTATGAAATCAGGTACACCTCAGTAGCTCAGAGCAGCTTTTTCCTTGCATAGCCAAGACAATCAATACTATCTGTGTGGTAACTATCATCTTATGTCACACCCATTTGAACAAGAGAAAATGCAGTAAGATTTTCTACTTCATTTTTCTCACTCTTACTGCCAGTATGCATTTCTAGAAAAGCCTGTGTAAAGATGATGCATGTTTAGTCAAATTCTGCTTGCCAGTATTAAACTGGCCATAGATTTGGCTTTGGTACAGATGCTATATTGATGTTAATCAATTATTTACCGTTGCTAAAGACAAAAAAAAAAATTTAGTAATGACTTTGAGTTGTAGCATCCACCTGCATGTGCATTTAGATGGATCTTAAATAAATATCACTGATCTCTACATTTAGATAGGGTGAGCTTTGCTCTGATTCATCTTATTACATACACAGTTACAGAAAGGATCTCATTAGCACAGAACAACCAAAAATCACCAAGTCATCCAGCTAACCAAAATATCACAGATCGTACCATCTCACATACTCATATTATTAGCTGAAAAAGAAAGATGAAATGGTATTCCCTGGCAGCTAAAAATATGAGAGGGTAATGCTACTGATGAATAGATGAGACCTTTTACTTTGTCACAAAAATGATTCTTCTAGGGCAGGCATCAAGAACCTGCAGGTTTTCACAGTGCTCGCAGTTCCGTGCTAATTTTTCAGGAATGTCCTGGTTTTGGCTGGGACAGAGTTAGTTCTTCTTTTCAGCAGCTAGAAGAACTCCGTGTTTTGGTTTTTGGTCTGGGACTCGTTATGAGCAGAATGCTGACAGCGCACTGATGTTTATAGTTGGTGCTGAGACCTCAAGGACTTCGTGGTTTGCCATGTTCTTGCCCATGTGCACAACAGGCTGGGGGGGAGCATGGCCGGGACAGAGGGTCCACAACTCCCCTTATGATTTGAACTTAGACTTAGGACTGAGGACTAAATTGACCAATGAAGTATTCCATGTCATGCAACATCATGTCCAGTATAAAGATGAGAGTTAGCCAGAAAGAAGGGCCTTTGCTCTTCATGGGGCTCTCACTCTTGGACTCTCAGAGTGTTCTCACTCTCTCTCTCTCTTTTCAGGCCTCTCACTTATCCAGGATTGCAGTGTCAGGACTTAATCTGTTTTGGGATCGTTAGCTGGAACGAGATGGGTCTTGGTCACCAGGTGGTGACCAATTACACTGTGTATCACTTGCTTGTATGTATTACTATCATTATACATATGTATCTATTTATATATTAGTAGTAGTAGTAGTATTAAATTGTTCTTATCTTAACCCACAACTCTCTTTCC